GGGATAGCGATTATCTCCTTTTACAGTTCGCCAAATTGTTTGTGGTGACACTCCCAATACAGCCGACGCATTCCGAACGCTGGTCTCAGGATGATTGTCAAAATGTTGTAAAATACGATTCCCTGCCTGCAAATCTCTTCGTAACGCTGCTTGAAATCGGTTGTTTTCTTGTCGAATTGAAAATGATCCAGTCTCTCGCAATCTATTAAATGTCAACATAAACACTCTTCGGTTTGGCACTCTTCTGTTTGGAAATCGTCGTGCATATTCTCGCACCGCCTTTAAAGCATTACCGTTGCAGAAACCGTATACAAAAACCATATCAGCATATTCACTATTAGAATACGTACGCGGCATATTGCAAAAGACAAAATTCATCTACTGTTAAAGGCTTTCAAAGAGCGACTGACAAATTCATAACAGAAAGTGGAAAATGTAATCAAATATGTCGGTGCTAGATATGGCAAGAAATGTAAACATTTTTTTTCGATTTCTCTGAAACGGAGCAAAAACGAGCATATGTCTATAGGACTTTTTTTCTTAGTTTTTTACTCCTCTACACGCTCCCGAAGTTTTGCCATTTAATTTGGAAACACCCTGTATATATGTGTACGTATGAATGTAAGAGCCTCCGCTGTACGTTTACTTTTTCGTCGTGCACGACTTGTAGGACTCATGTACAGAACATACTCCCCCCGTTGAGAGAGTCAACGATCAATTCAGTTTCGCTTACATACATTCCGCTTATGCGCTTGACTTAAATTAGGAGATGATGTTACGCCGAGTGTATAATAATGCTGAATCACAGCTCCATCGGTAATGGACAGAGACCTCTTACAGGTCTTGTCATTTCTCCGGAGGACGTCATGATGGAGGCTGTTCGTATCACGCCATCGTCTCCCGGATAGAGTCTCGTGATCCGGCCAAGAACCCATTGTGTGCAGGGTATGCGCTTGTCCTTGATTAAGATCATGGTTCCTATGTTCAGTTGCGGACCGTCCTTGGACCATTTGTGGCGTACTTGGAGTTCATTTAAGTACTCAAGATACCAACGTGCCCAAAAGTCTTGTCTCATTTTCGTTATGTGCTGCCACGTAGACAGACGATTAGCTGGAACACATGTCAAATTGCCCTCCGGGAGGGCAGTTAAAGGTTTGCCAATAAAATAGTGTGCCGGAGTTAGCGCGGACGTGTCATTGGGATTGGACGAAAGTGGAATGATTGGCCGGGAATTTAAAATCCCCTCGACTTCGGCAGTGAAAGTATTTAATTCTTCGTGTGTAAACAACGAATCTCCTATCACGCGTCGAAAATGGTGTTTGAATAATTTCACAGTACTTTCCCACAATCCACCGAAATGTGGAGCTGCTGGAGGTATAAAGTGCCACGTTATTCGATGGTCGCTCGCGAACTTATTTATACGTTCCTTGTGAGCTTCGGAATTAAGAAGGACGTACATCTCTTTTAGTTGATTGTTTGCTCCTACGAAATTGGTTCCGTTATCGGAGTAAATATGCTCCGGAAATCCTCGTCTCGCGGCAAATCGTCGTAGTGCGGCTAAAAATCCGTCAGACGACAAGTCGGTCACGACTTCGAGATGTACGGCCTTGATGGACATGCACACGAAAATACATACATAGACCTTAATGCGCGTCCTATTACGAAATTTCCGTTCTTTAATATAAAACGGCCCGCAGAAATCGACGCCGGTATTGAAAAACGGAATTGCCTCCCTTACTCGCGCTATAGGAAGGTTTCCCATTTTGGGTTCTACGGTATTGGAATCAAATCGAAAACAACGCATACATTTACGCACAATTCTTCGAACCTGGTTCCGACCGTCGAGTACCCAAAACCTCTGCCGCACAGCTGCTAACGTGTGTTGAATTCCCGAGTGATGATTTGATTCGTGCGTTTCGCGGATAATGACGTCGGTTAAATGATTACGGTTTGGGAGGAGGATCGGATGCTTCTGAGCAAACGTCAGTTTTGATCTTTGGAGACGACCTCCAACCCTAATTATACCGTTTTCGTCCAAGAATGGATTAAGATTAAGAATTTTGCCCTTTCTCACGTGGTTTTTGGTTTTGAGATCTTCAATGTCATTGTGAAAGTGGATTTTTTGTAAAAGTCTTAAAATCTGTACTTCGGCTTCAATAATTTCTTGAGTGCACAACGATCCTTTATGTTTATTGGTGGGACGACACCGACGGCAATACGCAACGACCCTACATAATTTGGCATAAGATGAAAATCTACCTAAAATGCCTAGATCGTCAGATACCGACACCATACATGTGTTTTTCTTTAATTCCGGAATGTTGCAAATTTGAATGATTTCGTTAAGCCAGTCATCTTCGTTCTTAATTAACCAGGATGGACCGGAGCGCCAACTTTGATTTTGTACAAAAACTAGAGGTAATTGACCCCTTGAGAGCGCGTCCGCTGGATTGTCATGCGATCGAATGTGTCTCCATTCTATTGCTTCGGTAAGGTCTCGAATTTCTATAACCCGATTAGCTACGAACGTTTTGAGTCGATGCGGTTCGGTTTTTAGCCAGTGTAGCGTTATGGTTGAATCACACCAGAAAATTATCTTACTAGGAGTGCAATTCAGTGGATTGACGATTTCGCGGTACAATCGCGCTAATAATAATGCTCCACAGAGTTCAAGTCGTGGAATGGTTACGGGTTTCAGAGGTGCGACTCGCGATTTGGCGCATAATAAACGCGACGACGCATAACCTTGATCTCCGCTCGACCGCACGTAGAGACAGGCGCCGTATCCCACGTTGCCAGCGTCGCAAAACCCATGGATTTGTATATCGGAATGGTTCGTTGTTGACAACTTGCGAGGAAAGGACATTTGATCCATTATTTCCCATTGACGCGAGAATTCTAACCATTCGTTGCATATAGTCTGTGGGACAGGTTCGTCCCATTGGATCCCGCACCGCCAAACATTTTGAATTAATTTCTTGGCGTAGAGAATGACCGGACCTAATAAACCAATCGGATCGAAGATTTTCGCGATTTCCGAAAGAATGTTTCGCTTTGTCACTCGCTCGAAGCGCTTAATCGGATTGGTTGCGTAGCATATTTCGTCATCTTGGGTGTTCCATATTAGGCCTAAAGTTTTCAACGCGCGATCTGCATTTAATGTGAAGCTCACGTGTAGCGCGTTCGTCTCTAAATCGTTTATAATACGTTCGTCGTTAGACGCCCATTGCCTTATAACGAAGCCGCCGTGCGCTAACAATTCGGTCACCTCGTCCCGGATTTTTCGAGCCTCATCGATAGTTTCGGCGCCCGTCAACAAATCATCCACGTATAAATGCGATCCAATGATATCTGCGGTTACAGGATAATTTTGGCGTTCGTCTTCGACTAATCTTTTGATTACGCGGATCGCTAAAAACGGAGAGGAAGAAACCCCGAACGTAAGGACGTTGAGTTGAAACGTTCTGATCGTGCCATCCTTACGCCATAATATCTGCTGATATCGACGATCGTCTTCATGTAATAGTATCTGACGGTACATTTTCTCGATATCAGCGGAGATGACATAATTATAAGTGCGAAAGCGGATCAAATGTGAGAATAATTTGTCCTGTATTGTGGGGCCTGTCATCAACACATCGTTCAAAGATACACCGGAATTGGATTTTGCTGATGCGTCGAACACTATGCGAACCTTGGTGGTTTCACTCGATTCCTTTGTCACCGCGTGATGTGGCATGTAGTAACCGTCGTCATCCGGTTCCTCGATCATCGACATATGCCCTAATCGCAAATATTCTTCGAAAATCCGTTCATACTCGATTCTTAAGGACGTATTCATATTGAGCTTGCGTTCTAACGATAATAAACGTTTGAGTGCCGTCGTTCGCGAATTGCCGAGACGTTTATCTGTTTTGATGAAGGGTAAGCGAACTACATAACGTCCATCGTCGCGACGTGAGACGGTGTTTAAAAAATACGATTCGCATTCGATTTCCTCCTTCGATCTCGCCTTTTCCTCCGAAATATCTTCTATCAACCAAAATTTCGTTAATTGAATTTCTAAACCCGTCATATAGCACGTATTTTTTGATGATGATTGTGGTGGAGCACCGCCAGCGATCACCCATCCTAAGCACGTGTTTTGGAGGTGTAGATCGTACCCTTCGCGGGATAGATCGATTTGACCATCGGAAAATAAAGACAACGTCGCGCCCGAGCCTATTAACATCTCGACAGGTCGCGGCAGATGGAACTCCGGATCTGCTAATTTGATGTCTGACGGTAAAGCTAACAAACCTCGCGGGAAAATTTCTGAAGGCACTAAATCTGTGATAGTCGGTATCGTCAAGCACGTGATGGTTTTGCAGAAACCTTTATCTAACGATTGTACGGCAATTTTCACTACACCCTTCGATACAGTATTGACAGCATTGATCGCGCTGATCGTTGATGATTTTTTTATTGTCCGCACACCTAACCGCTTCACGATGGATTCCGTGATAAAGTTCGTGGTCGCGCACGTGTCTAAGAGTGCTCGACATTCGATACCAACGTGAGTGTTACGTTCGGAGTTGCATACATATATCAATGCACTTGTCATAAGCTGTGGAGTAACGTATGGTATAGTTAATGCAACGGGACTCGGCGCGCTGCGATCTGATAGAATTGATAGTCATTTAGATTGGATGTTCGTGGAATTAGACAAATCGGTTTTACTCGCGTGATTGTCATTATGTAGAAGGGTGTTGTGACGTTTCTGACATACCGTACAATTTGAAAATTTGCACGGCATAATGAGAGCGTAGGCAATTGTAACATAGTTTCGCCTTTTTCACCATATCAATACGTTCTGTCACGGTTAATTGTTTAAATACGTTGCATGTGTAAAGCGGATGTCGTTTGCCTTTACACGCGATGCAATTGCGCGATGCCCTTACTACAAGTGCCCGATTCGGAGCGTCGAATTTCCTCTTTTTGACTGGCGGTTCGTACTTGCTCTTATTTGTTTCTGTTGATATCGGTCGCTCCCGTATTGACGCGCACACCGCTGTTTTATATACGAATTCGTATAAGTCTTCGAGTTTGGGAAAGGTATCTCTCACAAGCGTCGCCTGCCATTTATCTAACGTGGCTTTCGGTAATTTACTCTCTATAAGATATACGATCATCTCTTGTCCGATTGTGACGCCTAACGTTAATGCCGCGATGTGTTGTTGAGCGTCGTCAGCGAGTTTCGTCAGACCGTTTGTATTTTCCTTTTCTACCGTAGGCAAATTTACCATAGTCGCGAGGTGTCGCATAATTAGAATCCGTTTCACTTCGTACGAGCGCTCAAGCAAATCCCAAGCCTTCGTGTAACTCGCCCCGTCGATCGAAAATATTTTTATTTTATTGCCGGCCTCACCCGTCAACGCGGATTTTAGATAATATAATTTGTCGACGTCTGTTAAATCCGTTTGCGCGCCTATCATAGACGAGAACGCGTTTTTGAATGACAACCAATTTTCGAATTTGCCATCGAATGTCAGGAGAGGAGCTTCGGGAAGTTTAATGCGCCTTTTTCTGAACGTTGTTGCTGTTTCCGTGTTCTCGATCCGGATTTCGTCACTCGATATATTGTCGCCCTTATTCGCCATATTCGCCGCACCCAACTTATTCTCAGCATTGACCGCGAGAGCGTAAAATCGTTCTTGTATATTAGAGAATTCGGAATGATGAACGTCGCTCGGATCCAACACCGCGAGCTCGTCGTTATATTCTTCAAACGCGCGGTATAGTTCGGTTAAACGCGTGATGCGTAATTTCAAATTTTTGCCGTCTATTTTGCCTTTGTCGAGGAGATTGGCTAGATTCGTGATTTGCGACTTTAGCGATGTCCGCTTTTGCACGAGGAGTTTAGTTCGATCGGCCATTATTATATGATTGTGATATATTGAAATCAAATGACTTACTGTGTGAATGATATCAATAGATTAATGTAAAATATCGTTCGACATCCCATCAGTCAGGAATATCAGCACTCGATGTTGTATCCGGTGGTCGTCTCCTTCGGATGGCAGTCCGGATTGTATGCGGGTTTCCGTGGACCTCACAGGAGGCACCAAATGTTATATTGTGTAATGTATTTAATGTTGGACGATGTTAATTAAAGTCACAATGTTAATTAAAGTACATACACTT